TAATAATTGGTTGGAGCATTCATGTACATCGCGGGTCACGGCACCTCATTGTAAGAGGGTCTCGGTGGGAGTTTTCTTTTGGTTTCAGCCCCCAGCCAGCAAGTCCAGTCCCTTCCTCCCCTCCCCAGACAGGCAAAGCCCCTCCAGCCCCCTGCTTGTGCCCAGCTCAGCGTCTCTTTGTGCAGGAGACAAAGCCGGGCTCTGCGGTCGGTCCGGAGACACGGGCTGGGGGCGTGCACAGCACTGGGGCATGACGGCTTTGGGTCTGGAGTTTCTGTAGTGGTAAAATCTAATTGTAATAAAACAGGTGATGTTACCAGTGGGCTTTTACTGCTTTTTCTGTTGCGTTGGGCAGTTTGAAGTTTAGATCTGAGCTTTGCAGTTAGTGTGTTTGATTATTTAATTTATTATTCTGAACTGGCCAGATCCCATCTCTGGCTGCAGTCACCTTAGTGCCTTGGAGTGGTAGGGATACAGCCTGAGCTGCGTGATCCTCAGCTCTGCTGCGATAAACCCTTGGTAAATCCCCTGAGTTTTAGAGCTGAAGTGTTTGGTGGGACCTGGAGTTTTCCCTGCAGCCAGACCAGGCTCGTGCCACCCTCTGGGCAAGACCCTGGTGTCCGTGGGCAGCGCTGCCAGAGCGGCTGCAGCAGCATCTCAGCCCTGAGGATGTCAGGGGAGTGTTAGAAAGCAAAGGAGCCCAACAGAAACAGCCATGAGACCTTCCCACGCAGGGTCTGGACCCGGGGGGCAGAGGGGAGGGAGGGAGCTTTGCCGGGGAGGGGATTTCCCCATGAGCTGCCTCACAGGCTGGGCACGAGCGTGGCGTTTGACCCAGGCTGCCAGCATGCAGCTCCTAAGCTCTCCCTGAAGACTTGTGTCTCAATCGATAGCCCAAGTCGATAGCAGCTGGAAAGATGCTTAAAGTCTTTGAAAACAAGGCCACGAGTGACTCCAGTTTAGCACACGGGGGTTCGAGAGATGATGTCTGCCTGAAATCCTCATTAATGCCCTGATTACGGTTGCTGAAGTTCCAAATCTGGGGCCATTCTTACAGACACTCCCCTGCAAAATTAATGTGTTGCAAACCCCTCTCAGAGCATAGCTGAGCACAATCTCGAGCCTCTTTGCCTAGGAAATGCAGGTTCTTAATCTGGGGTGCCCGGGAGGGGATGCTGAGACATGCTGGATGTCGGGCAGAATGCTGGCAAAAGGGACGGGGAGGGAGTCGCGGTCTGGCTGCGCAGGCTGCTATCATCTCCCCGCAATAAACCTCCAAAATAAAGCTCCACGCTGCAGGTTTTCCTTTCCTCTTACAGCGCAGCACCACGCATCGAGCACGCACAGCTCGGCCATGGGGAGCTCTGCCTAAACCCCGGGACATCCACAGCCTCGCAAACCCACCCACTCTCTGCCATTAGTGCTACCGTGGCGTCAGCAGCAGCAACTCTTTGATGTGGCAGCGGTATAAATAGCTCCCTACCTGCGACAGAGCCTGGCTCCCTCCCCTCTGCTGCCTGGTAAATCACTTGGCAGGAGCCAGTCCTGGGGAGAGGCTGTAGCAAGGCAAAAACAAGTGCAGAACTCGGGGAAACCTGGCGAACACAGCCCCGGGCAGGTGATGCCGTCTGTGGGGAAGCCCTAACACCTCCCAGCGCGTCCCAGCAGCGCTGGTGCTGGCTGTGCTGTTTGTGTGGCTGGGTAAAGTCGTGCCCAAAGCAAGAACCTTCCCAGTGTGGTGGTGGTGGGGGATGTCTGTGTATGGCAGAGCTCCGCAGCCCTCGCCTTGGCCCTGCTGCGTTGCCAGGAGCTTGTGCTGGGGGTGTGCAGCATCCCCAGGCAGAGGGGAGCTTGGTGATGTGGTGCTAAAATCCTCCTCGGAGAAGGTTTGAGGACCCCCTGCAATAGTGTCCTGGTTATTTTGCTCCTTGGGAGGCATCATCCCTGCGTCTGACCTTCTCGCCTGTCTTTGGATACTAAAAGCCACCTGAAGCCTCCAAATAGTGACAAGCTGATCTCCTCTTTATAAAAAAACAAGGAAGAACCGGCGAGAACCATATATCCCTCTGCCTTTCTCCAGCGTAGGCTCCCTGTTTTATGGCGCTCTGGTGCAGGACTGACAGCTCCACAGGTTGTACGATAAATAATACATGTAATAATTTAGGATCTAGGCTGCTGTTGGGGGCTGGGTTCAGTATTTTTACAACTGGCTGTGGGTGGGAATAGCTCTCCTGCTCCCTGAAGTCTTGGGACGTCTCTCTTGTGGTTGTGTTAAACATCCCTCTGGTAAGATCCTGGACTCCACAGGGGTGTTGTGGCAATGGGACCGAGAGCGTTTGTCTCGGAGAAGAAGACAGTTTGGGTTCAAGGAAGCAGCTTTTGTCTGGCTTGAGAGCGGGTTTTGATTCTGAATCTGCCAAGACCTTCTCTACAGCTCCACAAGCACCCAGAGATGTTTAGTGTTGGGGAAAGACAGATAGTGTCTAGGGAGAGCCTGATGCAGCCAATCACAGTAGATTTTAATAATATTTTTTCCCTTTCATCTATTTTTTTTTTGACTCTAAGGAAGACTCTCTTACCTCTTTCTGTGTATCTGTGCTTTAACATCTCTGAAAGCCCCCGGTTGATGCTGGGGTTTCCTGCGTGGTGTATTTGTTTATATGGCAACGCTGCAAGATAACCTGGTGTGAAAGGGTGTGTGTGTGTGTGGTGCCATCCCGCTGTTGTAGAGCCCTGGGCTTATAGGGTTGCTATCAGCCCATCCCAAAATCTTCCTGTGATTCCTCATCCCCGGGAAGCAGGGCTGATAATGCCTGACGCTGATTTAGGAAGGAGAGAGATGTGCCTCCGGGTGCGCAGGGTAAGTACGGGCAGTGCTGCGTGAAGCCAATTCCCTACAAAATGGAACAAAACCCACCTCTGATTTGAGTAGAAGTGCCTTGGGCTGGCCAGCGTGGGTGAGCCTGGGGCTCTGCTGGGCAGGGAGCCCTGAGCGTCTGGGCTGGGGAGCTGTTGGGGGGCTCCCCGGGATGTGACGTGTCCCAGGTGACTCTGTGGGTTTGCTTTGTGCCCGGCACCCCCAAGGAAAAAAAAACACTCTGAGACTGGGGTGGTGGCGTGGTCACTGCAAGTAGAGAAAGTGCTGAGGGGGAGCTTGGGGGATGCTGAACCCAGGGAGGTGTCTGCCTCTTGTTGGGGTCGATGATTTTTATTTTTTTTTTGGTGGATAATTTGGACTTTGGGCACACGCAAAGCACGTGGGGTGGTTGGACAGCTGGGCTGTGCTTTAACGCACGTGAGCTCAGTCTCCACGTGGGCTCCCAGCTCCGTGGGCCAGACCCTCTGGAGCGTGTGTGGGAAATACCTCCCTAAGGACGTGGTTGGGTTTTCAGCCTTTTATGATTTGCTTGTGGTAAATTTGCAGAGAAAATAATAGCACAGGCCATTAAATTCTCTGCAGATATTTTGAGTGACAAAAGTCGTGGTTGCTCTGTTTGATAGTAATTGATCGGGCGATGGAGAAGAGCATTAGCATCCCTTTGTCTCGGTCTACTCGTGCTCCAGGGAGAGCGTGCAGCTGGGCTTGACGTGACACTCTTGTCTTCTGTGTTATTTAGTCTTGGGTAATTCTAATCTACCCCTGGAAAGTGCAGTTATTTCCAGAAAGTTTAGGACCTGCTGCTTTCCTGTATTAGCAACGCAGACGGCTTTTGGAGCGGCTGGGGTTGCCGTTGGGTGTGCTCAGTACCAAATATATCACCCTGGGAGGTTCATCTGTGGGTGCAAACCTGCTCCTAAATCTGGTGCAAGAGCCTGTGCTTTGGTTTTGTGCCTTCAGGCCATGTGGTGGACATGGCTGGAGGTGGCCTGGGAGGAGCAAGAGCTGTTCTTGGGGTCTGGCTAAAGACTCGGGCTGGGCTTGCTGCTGCCTCCCATCCTCCAAGCAACTAGTGTTTTGTCAGAGAGATGACAATCTCTCGTGAATAACCCCCCAGTCCAGCCGGAAAATTAATGCTGGGGCTCGTGGGAGTGGTGCCAGCCTGGGGGAGTCAGTGGGGGAGATGTGAAGGGACGAGGAGGGAGCTTGGGAGGTTTTAAGATGTGGGACTGGAGCCCTGCAAAGCAAACCCCGGCTGCTTCCCCGGCCGAGCATCCGTCCCGCAGCGCGTGGGAAGGAGCCGAGCTGTGCCCTGCCCGCCGCGTGGGCCTGGGGTGGGCAAGCCTGTGACTTCGCACTGAGCCCCTCTGGCTCCCCACTGCCATGAGCTCCCCGACACGCTGCAACCCCCCGACCAGCCTCAGACCCAGGAACACCCCTGTACGCCCCGAGGGGCCCCATCTCCTGCCCCTCACGTGGGATCTGCCCTCGTGGGGTGTGTGTAAGGAGGGGGCTTGGGACTCCAGGGTCTTCCTCAGCCTCCCTGCGGAGGAAACTCGGGTCTCTCGGGCTGCTCTGGGCTCTGCCAGCCCATGCTGAAGTAGTTTTGTGCAGCAAAAGCAGTGTGAGCCCCCCCTGCCCCTCCCCGGCACCACACTGGAGATGCCTGACCCCGCGGGAGTGGGCTCTCCAAGTGCCCCCAGCCAGAACACCCCAGGAAAAGCAGAACGGCATCATTAATAACCACAAAAAAAGAAAAAATAAAGAATTCCCAGACTCATTCCGTAAGAGATTTTTGCTGACAGCCCTGCCGACCTCGGCCGCTCGGCCCCTGCCACAAGTGACACAGCCACAGCCCCCCCATTCCTCCCAACTCCACCCCCGGCTCCTCTCCAGCGCAGGCATCGCCCGCGAAGCCATCGCCCACCGAGAAATGCCCGAGCCCACCCCTCGCTCTTGCCTCCCCCGTGCCCGCCGGAGGCGAGCGGGATCTGGCAGGTTCCCTCTCGCCGGAGCAGAGCCCAGCGCGCCTGCAAGTTGGCTCTGCTGGGGAATGATGCCCTGAAACCCGGAGCCTCTTTCTTCCCATCTCGGATGGAGGAAGGAGGGAGAAGGGACTTACCTGGGGTGGGGTGGGTGGCTGTGCATGAGCTGGGGGCCCCGCCGGTGCCGGGGGCTCGGCTGCGAGGCAGCGCTTGGCTGGTGCCTGCCCGAGTGTGGATGTGTGTGCCCAAAGCCACTGCAGCATCTCTGCATTAGGATGTGCTCCTCCCTCTCCTCCCTCCTTGCGTGCGCGCTCCCTCGCTCGCTGCCAACCACCACGC